TGCTTGTTGTACTGTGTGCCGTGTGTTGGATATGGCAGGGACCCGTCAAAGAAGCCAAGGATCTGCGCGCCTTCCATCATCAGCTCGAACTCAAATGACCAGGTAAAGAAGTCCTTTCCGTCGAAAGGCCTTGTCGTTTGCAGTTTTAGGACGTGCGCAAACTGCGACTGAACTTGAAGTGCGTCCAGTGTCTTCTCTTGTCCAGGTGCAGGCTGCGGGTGTGGCATAAAGCTGATGGAGCCGCGCTGGGGCTCGTACGGAGCGAAGGTAGGCTGCTGCTGCTGATTTCCGCGCGCGTAAGACGAGCCATCGAGACTCATGGGTGTCACGTCGTTGTTGTTGTTGCTGTTGTTTGACTGCGCAGGTGCTCCTTGCTGGTGTTGTTCGTAGAAGGACATGAAGGAGAAGAACTTCTCCATCATGCTTGGGTCGAAGCCCGCGGCTTGATTTGCGGGAGTTTCGGTAGACGTTGCTCTTGGTCTTGTTGCCGTACCCTCCTCTGTCTGTAGGCCAGAGGCAGGAGGTGGAGTAGGAGTAGTACCAAGAGAGCCGTTAGAGGAGCTTCTCTCCTTCTGCGTTGCCATGCCTTGTGATGTTGTGGGTGTCTTGATTGTAGTTGAATTTGTCCTGATAGCTCTCATACCATGTTGGGCTGAGAAAAGCCCTTAGGATCTTTGCAGGACTAAATTCTGAGTAGGACAATGTAATAGCGGAAGCGTTCAATAAGGAGTTTGTGAACCACCTTGCGCTGGTATGTGAGGGCAAAGTAGATTGATTAATACAAAGAGATACAAGCCTTTTTATAAGAGTACAAGGGAATATGAAGGGTTGTAACTAATAATTGTTTTGCTGTTGCTGTTGCGGTTCGATACAGTAACGACTCGGGCAACTGCTCAATAGCGAGTCAGTTGTTTGTCCTTGCTGTCACGCTGTACTTGTCAGGTCAAAGGTCGCTGACCTTTGACTTTCGCGTAACCTCCAGCAGTTGCTCAACCTCCGAGGGTCGACTCGCTGATGCTTTGATATGTTTCGCTTCGCTTCTGACTTGGTGTTTCGACACGACAGAGGCGCTTAAGTTACTTGTTTCCAACACTTCACACATCCTCTCCTCACACTCACCTACGCGCCATCCTCACTTGCACACCACTCTCTCTTTATTCTCACAAACTCACACACTCACTTCTCGCACCCTATCCTCATCACTACCACCCCTCATTATATAAACGTACTTCATGATGACGCCGTTGGATGACTCTAGCTGCTCTGGATGGCCAACGTCTGCACTGGCCATCTATGATTGTGATATTGTCTGCACTGTACATCTATGTGGCGTAACTCGCTACATGCAGGGCCCTTGATAACTTTTAAGCGCGTCTGACGTTTTTGGGAAAAAAAAAAAAATGGCTGACACTCATACAGAGGATTCTTGGTGGTCTTAAAGTCAGACCGAATTTACAGCTTCATCTAACGCTGCAGTCGAAATTTGGATTGATCAGACATTAGTTTATTAATATAGCGCTACACTTACTACACTACAGTCGCTTGATTATCATACTGGCACAAAGGCCTTCTGTAATACTCTCTTAAGCACTAACAATCAAGAATCTAGGCCTTGCTCACTATCACTACCATCAGAAAATCCTCATTTTCGTCCACACTCTTTGCCTCTGAAACCGTGTGCTCCTTGCCATTGTTAGCCCTTCTCTACCAGGGGCCCAGCTCCTCTTCTAGCCTGGCTGCTTCTTCTGCAGCTGCTGCTTCATGAGCGGCCGCCTCTGCTGCTGCTGCTGCTGTTGCTGTTGCTGCTTTTGCTGCTGCTGCTGTTGCTGCTGCTGCTGTTGCTGCTGCTTGTTTTGCGGCCAGCATCGCAAGGGTCTTCTTCGCGCGCTTCACTGGCCTTTGGGCATGCACCATCACCACCTCCTTGGCTGGACGTCTCTGCTTTGCACCTCTCTAAAGCGCTACAAGGACGGGCCAGTCAGGGTCATAGTTGAGTAGCGAGATGGCCATCAGGTCGCCAAGCTTGGCGTTGTCGAGATTGCCGCGCAGCCAGCTCTTAATGACATTCTGGCGGGAAAAACCCCGCTCGCACTCCACGGTGCTCAAGGGCAAAACAGCGACCGCCATCCAAAGGCGGACCAGGTTGGGTAGGCCGTGCACGAGTCGGGCGAGCTGAGCATCTGCTTAAGGCCGTCTTGGAGGCTCAGCTCCTGGTGATGCGTCGACATGATCGTGGTGAAGCAGCTGATCTCCTTCTGTGCCCTCGTCCAATTGATTCCTAGGGGCGGGGTGTGAAACAGAGACGGATTTATAAAGAGAAGACAAAGTCAGTGTTGTTGATGGAAATTAATCACGCACGCATTCAACATAACATATGTAGAAACTAACAGCGAGAACTCAGGCAAGCACAAATTTAACTGAAAACGTACCAGGCAGGGTGTCAGGGTCGGACGGTTTGCGCTTAAACAGGTTACGGAGAGCCGCCAGCCACTGCAAAAACCTACGCTCCCGCTTTGAGTGAGATTTTGGGTACGCCCCTTGCGTGAACAGCTTGGCACCATCGAGAGAGTCCAGATCCTTCATGCGCTTCTCCAAGCACTTCAGAAGCTCCTTCACGTACGCTTTCGCCAGTGCAATGCAGTCGTCCAGGCTCCCGCCAGAAAGTTGGCCCGCTAACTTTCGTTCATGCAGACTGTACTCGTGAGTAGTCGGCGTCCCGTTCGAGTCGGTGCCCGTCACCTTCACTTGCCTCTTTGCCGGCGCGCGATGCTTCGCCATGAAGGTGCTCAGCTCGTTGCTCCCATCTCCGAAGTCGTCCGCGTCGCTCAGGTAACGGTTGCAGAGGGCGAGCCGAGTGTTGTCCACCATCTGCAGCACGTGAGTCACATCGACCTGCCACACACACATGAGAGGCAGTGGAGTGGATAGATACAAGGGTCAAAAGTTAATATAGACGGTTCATATTAACTATACCAGCGGGGGAACATCAAGTCTTGAAACCCATACCTGCCGTCGCTGGAACTTGAGGTTGAGTGTGTTGAGCTCCTTCAACACATCAGCCAAGAAATAGAGAAGGAAATGGAATGTCAAGCTGGTTATCAGGTTGTACGCCTCCTCATCATTCTCGTACAACAGTATTACAGCCGCTGGAAGGTTGTCAGCCAAACACTGAACCGCCAAACCACGAGAAAGCCAGCGGGCGTTGAGGATGCCCTGCAACTCCAGGTTGGTTTCGCAGAGCACCTCCTACAGCTCCTTGAAACGCGAGTGGGCATTGTTCGACCGTCCAAGTAGCTCACTTGATGAGCGGACGACGTGGTCGACGATGTCAAGGTCAGGGTAGGCCTCAGCTGCATCCTTTGCCGCCTACGCTTCCCTTAAACAAAACAACAAGGCAACATGTTAGATATACATGCAGAACATAAATGGTAAGCAATGAAACACCAATTGTACAAAGCTGTGCGCGATGCAGTGGAACCCGGCGAGGTGTGGAATCCGTGTTCGAAGGCGTGCCACCAAGCCCTTCTCAGAACCGACCATGACGCTTGCACCGTCGGTGCCGATGCCACTGATGCGCTCAAGGTCGATCCCGGTAGACTCTAGATGTGTTAGAAGGATTGCCTGCAGGGAAGCAGCATCACACTGCTCAATGGTTAGGTGCGCGTAAAATTCAGTGACGGGTGTGTTTTTGCGGAGGAAGGTCAGGTAGACGATAAGGTGCTTCCTGCGCCATCGGTCCGTGCTCTCGTCCAACTGTATTCCCAAGTAAGGACTGTCCTGGATGTGCTTCATTTGTTGAGCACGGAGGTAGATGACGAGCGTCTCAACCAACTGCGCGAACCCGTACCTGCAAGGACCAGCAAAAAGGTGATTAGTACGCTGGTGTTTGGAAACATTATGCTGCCAAAAAAGAGAACATACTCGCTGTAGTATGTACCGGTTCCTTCAGAGGCATGCCGGGGGTGCCCATCTCTGCCATGAACTGGACGAAAATCACAAACAACACAATTGGTGAGTCGCTTATGCAAATAAATATGACGGTTGCCATTAGCTTAGCCATTCTCGAAGTCGACAGCCCACTTTTGAGCAGCGATCTTGCCGTCCCGCAACTCTTGGCGATCAACTGCGGCCTCATGCTTGATAAAATGTTGATGTTTCCTCATAGTTTGCCGTTGAGTGTCGAGGCCACCCTCCCCCTCGCGGCCGTACTTGTAGCTGGGGTCTCCGTGCACCATGCAAATGGAACACCTCATGCAGGGTTGACCCAATGAGGTCAGCGAGATGATGAGCAACGGAAAGTGCTTCAACCATTTCTCCTTTGCCTTCTGCTGCCACTGCTCGACGGTCAACGCGCGCGGATACTTGTCGGCGTCGTCGGCGGCGGCGGGGTTTGAAGGGCCTGGACGAGGTGTGCTAAAGCGGAGGACGGTAGCTGGGGGTGCACCTGCAGTAGGACGGGCAAATGTCAGTACTCGCTACTTGAATTTGCCTAATGGCAGGTAGAGTTGTAGCCACGGATGCCGAAACGGGCGGCGGCGCAGACTCAGCTTCAGCCAGGTTAGGTTGGGACGAAGCCAGGTTAGTCTCATCGGCCTCTGACGTGGATTGCGAGGGGATAAGAGGCTCATTGTTGCAGGATGTGATGACGTTGGGGGGAGGAAGTACAGGCGTAGGCATCGCTACTGTGGCAGTGGTGGCCACAGGAATGGCATCCTCAGTTTTATGGGTTAAAAAAATCTAACACAGAAACTCGCGACTCTGATGACTCGACGGCGCCATGCTCAGATAACATGGTGAGGTGTATCACATGAGGCAGTAAAATAGGGCACTCTAGACGGGACAGGATCAAGCTAAGCGGAATAGAGTTGAGCCACGGGCTAGGCGTCGAGGATTGAATGGTGGTTGGGTGCATGTCTCGAACCGCGCCCCTCTCACAAGGGTTTCACGCAAGTGCAAGGGTGGGTGCATGCTTTGTTTGTAATGCACCGACTGTCCTTGCACTATGCCAGCGAGGGGGGGGCAACAGCCTGGCAGCGGCGCAGACAACAACTACAAGACAGATGCGTGGCAGCACCTGAGTCAGATGCAGAATGCGCAGGAAGGAAGAATCCAAAATTGACCCCCGTGCCATCACGCAAAAATCTTTGCACCCCAAGAAAAATGCATCCCTGCTGCGCCCAGCTTCCGGTTTTCGCCTCTACCGCCAATGCCACAATGGTATCAGATGTCACGTTCCAGTGAAGAAGACTGTATTGGGGGCAGAGTAAAAGTGTGCATGGAGAGACAAGGCATGAGGAAGCTAATGACTTATGTGGCTCCGAACCTACACCTGCAACGGAGGAGGAAATGTTATAAGGAAAAACATCAAAGGTGTAGCAAGCAGGAGTCTTTACTCCCTTCATCTCCGCTCCATTCCCTCCCTCAAGGCACGGGTGGTACAAGTGATCGCAGCCTTTGCTTGCGAAGTGGGTGCCATGCGCCTTCACACACATTGTGCAGGTGCCAAGTCGGCCACGTGCCAACGGTTGTGACAGATGTGTGCTGCTGACCTCGTGCGCACGTAATGTTGCCACGTAGGTCGGCTTTGCCAAAACCACCTGGATGACGTTTGCGCAACCCCACAGAACCCCACGACCAGGTTAGTAGTTCGACCAGAGGAGGCCGCCGACAAGGTCGGTGCCTACAAGTCGGTGTCATGTCGACGAACACCTACATCGATCGTTGACTTTATTTCGTCGGCGTACGCCATGGCCAGCTTTGCCAAAGTCGGCTCCGCTGTGGTCGACTTCCCGAACTCGGCTAACTGTCGAAGCCGGCTAACTAAGCTGACTTGAACTTCCAAGTCGGCCAAGTCAGCGTTGATCAGGAAGTCGGCTTCGCCGTTCGTTGGTGTTGGCTTCGCAGTGGTCGGCTTCACCGAAGTCGGCTGACCGTCGATGTCAGCTCCACCGAGGTCTGCCAATCAAGCATAGTTGCTCCTCCAAGTTGGCGCCGACCACGAAGCGTAGCCGGGTGCAAATATTGCAAGTTGGACAATGAAGCTGGCTTCGCCCAAGCGAGGGCGGGGCCTTCTCTCATCAACACTTCTCCTCCTCCTCCTCCTCCTCCTCCTCCTCCTTCTCCTCCTCCTCCTCCTCCTCCTCCTCCTCCTCCTCCTCCTCCTCCTCCTCCTCCTCCTCCTCATCCTCCTCCTCCTTCCCCTGTTTATCTCTTCTTGTTTCTCTTTTATTTTTCATAACTCAATTATGGGATGCTCTCTCCTCATCAAATGGGTTTTCTCATTCTTTCGGGGCCCCCTACCCATCTCCACGCCCTATCTGACTTTTGTCCATCCCCGCTCCACAATGATTACTTTTGCTCCCCCTTCTATAGGGCGAAATGGTGGCCATGCTCGATTTTCATAACTGAAAGCCCCCACTTTCTCGTTGTAGCCTGCTCAACGTCGTACCCATTCTTTTTTCCCTCTTCTTCTTTTCCACAATATTCGTACTCCCTTATCCCTCTTATCAGGTTATTATGGTAACGATGATTTCTCTCTTCATAGCGGACGTCCCTCACTTGCTCTCCTCCTCCTCATCCTCCTACTCATCCATCCTCACATCTTCATCTGCTGCTCCTCCTCCTACTAGTAGTGTGCGCATCACAGCCGTTACCATACCTGGCAATGGCATTGTTGTGGATACCATTGTACCTCTTGATGAACGAGCTGCTCCAAGCTGCTACTACTGCTGGTGCTGCTAATGCTCCTCCTTCTGGTGTTGGGGATATCAGATCAGGGTCGGTGGTTACCATACCTGGCTTGGGCAATGGGGTGGGTGTCAGAATGTGATATTTGTCTAGCCTGCAGTGGGGTACTCTATAACGAGTGTAGCCCAAATTAGGGTCTCCTATATGTGCTCAACTACCTGCTAGTGCAAACGCTCTTCTTCATGCTGCCTCCCCTCCCGTCGCCCGTCGAAGCGCCTTGGGGGCCCGCGCGCCGCCCTGCCCGTCGCCCGCCGCGGCGCCCTGGGAGCCCGCGCGTCGCCCCCCCCTCCCGTCGCCCGTCGCGGCGCCCTGGGGGCCTGCGCACCGCCCTGCCCGTCGCCCGTGGCAGCGCCCCAGGGACCCACGCGCCGCCTGCGTTTGGGGTATGGGGTGGCGGGTATGGGGGTGGCGGGTGTGTGAGCCCTCCCCTGCTCCTCCTCCTCCTCCGTCTCCCACTGCTGCAGCTGCCGCTGAGGGGGGTGGGTGTGTGGGAGCCGAGGGAGTGGCGCTAGGGGGGTGTCATGAGAGTGGAGCTAGGGGTGCAGCAGGGGGTGTGTGAAAGGGGTGTGAGATAGTTGGGGGAGGTTGACAGGAGGTAGCCGTCGTGACGTCAGCAGCGCCAGTAGTCCGAGGCCCTTGCTTCGGTAGCCCAGCGAGCCTGCTGCGCCAGTCGCCCGTGGGTCCGTTGCTCCTGCCCCTCGTCTTAGTCGCGAAGCCAGTTACTCCTGTAGTCCGGGGCCCTTGCTCCGGTAGCCACTCCGTGTGCGCGGCTCCTGTTGCCCATGTGTCTGCGGCTTCACCCGTCGCCTCCTATCTCCACTCCTCTCACATGTTATAGTCACAATAGGCTCCAATGTGCCTAAAACGAAAGATAGAGTGCACAGTCGGATTTCTGCACAGCGGCTTCAAACGTTCATAGCGTTCTGGTCACAACTTCAAATGACCTGATTCAACTTGGATCTGGAGCGTCTTAACGTCGCCTACAATAGGCAATTTAGATCGCACGATTTCACCAAGTATTGACGATACAGTGTCAGTTTGAACGAACGGCACTATGGCAGCCACTATAGTCTTAGAACACACAATAGGAAGAGTTAGGAAGAGTTACGAGTTGGGAATGACTCCCAGCTCCTACAAACCCCAAGAGCCGAGGTACAGTGATGTGGAACAGTGCCACACTGTCCCCAACCAAGAAGGGTCTCGAAACTACCCTTCACAAGGGCCTACACCAACTGAAATGTTACACTACACAAAGTAATGTAACTATCTTCAATATCTTGAGGTGTACCCTTTTGGCGAGCTTCGCGATCACTTGAATGTTGACACCAGGGGCTCGGGTTCTTCATCACAAACTCATCCTTGAGTTCTTGATGGGTCTGCTGCACACACCTGCGACACGCCGAACGTTCGACACAGGACAAAATAGAAACCGCGCACGACAAAATAGAAACCGCGCGCGAGACACAAACGACCGCGTAACACGCGTCTAGCGATAACTCGCTATTGACTCGACACACACACTCGACATCATGACTCGACATCCACACACAATTATAAGCATGAAATATATATTATCCCATGCCCTCATACCATTCCATACACACACACATGCACGCACACGGACAACAAGCCGAGTGCAAACCGTAGGGTTGCACCAACATCACAGTCCCTCCTCCTCCTCACTTGCCTTCTGTGAATGCCTCTGGCTTTGCTTGTACTTGTGAACCTGCTCTATGGCTGCTTGCTGTGCTGATTATACCCCACTTTGACTATGGGGGTGTGTCAGAATGTGATATTTGTCTAGCCTGCAGTGGGGTACTCTATAACGAGTATAGCCCAAACGCTCTTCTTCTGTTCTAACTTCTGCTTGCTTTCTTGATAGTGGGTACTTTTGAGCTTCCGATTAGTAAGCTGCTTGGTTGCTGCTATTGCCAATTCTTATGGTGCGGCTGTGGTTTCGACTGTTGCTGTCAAAGTTTACATTTAATGTTTGTGGGTGTTACATTTGTTAGCCTAGGTTAATATAGGCTAATTGTATCACCTTGCTACTTAGCTTACATCATTCTGTTGTTCACATTTCTGACATGGTATCAGTGTAGGCTCATTCCTAGACTCTATACCGCCTACCTAACTAGTTCCTAAACCAACCGCAGGCCAGCCGACCTGTCCCGCCAGCCCTAGCTAGCGAGCCAACCAGTGCGAGCCACCCGCCAGCCCACTAGCGTATACAGCCAGTAATGCGCGCCGCCAGCAAAGCACACCCCGCCAGCAAAACGCACATGCCTTTAGCGCGCGCCCTGCCAGTAAAACGTGCACGCGAGCAGGGTGCACCGCCAGTGCGCACCCCGCCAGCAAAGCGAGCACGTCAGCAGTTTGTGCCCACAGCACAGGCCCCACCAGCAATGCGAGCACGCCAGCAGCACGCATCGCCAGCTTGCGCCCCGCCATCCAGTCAGCGTACTCTGCTAGCGCGCACCCCGCCAAGCAGCGTGCGTCCCTAAAAGTGCGCACTCCACCAGCTAGCAGAGCGCCTCGCCAACCAGCCCGCACCCCGCTAGCAGTCTCCTCCCAGAGGGCGTGCGCGTCCTCTTTAGCCCGGGTAAGTCGGCGAGGAGTGTTATGATGCTGTTGTCTCTCGTTATTCCACTCATTCCTCCGCCTCCCTCGGACGCAACCTCGTGCCGTTCTTCTTCCCTGACCTTGCTGCTTTTGCCACTACTACTGACCTAGGCACTCACCTGTGCTCAATCGACACCAGCTACTGTGCTGCCTGTTGTGAAGAAACTGAGTGGAATGATTGACTAGGAAATGAGTTGGGTACAAATATGAAACCCTAGGAAACTGTACCCCGTAGTGTCTACCCCACTATAGCCTAGACAGGCTATATGATAAAGTTTGACACACCCCCATAGGCAAAGTGGGGGAGAACAAGGGGTCACAAGACCAGTCAAGCAAAGCAAAGCAAAGCAAGCTCAGGGTGGATCACAACGTCACCACACATTCCGAGCACAAGTTCAAAGGCCACAAGGCCAGTTCATAGGCAGGATTATATATAAAGGTGAACAAGCAAGACAGTGATCGCAACCTAGCAAGGGTAAACATGCAGGTGCAGGTATATATAGATCACAGTACAAAGCAAAGTCAAGAGGTAAGCAAGTGAGGCCAAGTAGGTACGAGACCTAACATAGTACAGAAGCGCTGATGATCACAAGGCTGAAGTGCCTTGGTGAAGATATCAGCAGTGTTGGCCCAAGAGGCCACGTAAGCAAGGCGCAGCTGACCATGCTGCTGCAGCTCACGAGCAAGGAAGTAGCGAAGAGCAATGTGCTTCGTTCTGTGCTCCAGTCTGTGCTCTCGACACAAGGCCAGCATGGCCTTGTTGTCTACGTACAGAACTGGAGGAGAACGAGGCGGCTCTCCCAGGTCAGTCAACAGGTAGGTGAGCCAGCGTAACTCCTGTGCAGCCATGGCCCCTGCGTAGATCTCAGCCTCACAGCTGGAGCTGAGAACAGAAGACGAGCGGGTAGACCGCCACGAAACAAAGCCGGAACCAAGGCTGAAGGTGTAACCCTGTGACGACCGCTGCGTAGCCAAGTCGTCAACCCAAGATGCGTCAGCGTGACCAGTGAGGAACACTGGACTACGCCCTCCAAGCACGAGCCCCATGCCCGACGTACTGCACAAGTAGCGCAACACCCTCTTTGCTGCGGCCATGTGCTCTGGTCGGTGTCTCCCAGGAGCAACATAGCGTGCCAAGATGCTAAGAGGGTATGCCAGGTCAGGTCGAGTGCAGGTCATCAGGTACATGAGGCAGCCAACAAGCTCTGGGTACGGGCCACTCGGCTCTACGGACTCATCCGAAGGCAGAGCTGAGAGCGAGTGGCGAGTAGACAGAGGAGTGACCTGAGGCGAGGAGTACGTGAAGTCAAAGCGCTGAAGGATCTGCTGCACCATGTGTGACTGAGTCAAGGTAATGGTGCGCCGTGCTCTGTCCCGGGTGATCTGCAAGCCAAGATAGCTGCGCAGTTCACCCAGGTCTGTGCACGTGTGTCTCTTCTGCAGCTCGAACTTCACGTGGGCGAGTCCAGCAGTGTCAGCAGTAGCAAAGACCAAGTCGTCGACGTACACGAGGATGTAGAACGGCGGCAAAGAGGTGTCGGTGCGTAGAAACAGCGACGTGTCAGCAGTGGAAGGAGCAAACCCAAGGGCCGCAAGCGTAGTCCTCAGTGTATTGTGCCACTCACGGGGCGCCTGGCGGAGATCGTAGACTGGCCGCCGGAGGCTCCACTGGGTACCAGGAGGAAACGACCCAGTGAAGCCAGGTGGGCGGCGCAGCCAGATCTCCTTGTGCAGGCTGCCGTGTAGGAAAGCAGTGCTGAAGTCAAGAGAGTGAAGCTCGTAGTCGCGCTGAGCGGCTATGTGCAGCAGCACCCGAAGAGTGGTCATCTTGGGGGTGAGAGAGAAGGTCTGAAAGTAGTCAACTCCCTGT